AGGTTAATACAAATCTTGCCTACCTTGAGCTTTGAAGAACTACTGTACCCTTTCAAATTCAGAATTCAAAATGGTTTGAATTGGAACCAGCATAAGGAGAAGTTAGAAAAAAACCCCACAATTTAAGAAGTTCAAGATATCTTAGGGAAAATTGAATGGAATATTTAATAGAAATATAGGATAACCTAACTTGGAAAGGACCCACAACAGTCATTGAATCCAACTCCTGACCTGGCACAGGACAACCTCAAAAACCAGACTATAAATATCTGGAAAAGAACATTTTTAAAAATTGCTTATTTTCTGCATTTTGTAATGTACTTGGTCATGGATCAATATTCCTGCATTGGAAATCATACTTTTCAGTATTGTTCTATTTCCTTTGCAAATAATGAGAAACAACAAAATTTCTTTGTATTTCAAGAAATATAGCACCACTCTAGAATAACCCAAAGAGGTTATCATGCAACTTCTGGCAAGAAAATTGCATTATAAGCTGACAAAAAATCAGGACAATTTTTAGGAGGCAATCATGGCATACTCTGCCTATCCTATAGCATGGTTCCAGCTTGCACTGGGGCACTGCCACTGGGGCAGGACTAAAAGGCACACCCCTGGGCACAAAGCAAACACTGATGGTGAACCCTTACATTAGAATGCCCAGTGGTGGTGGTCTCCATCCACTCCTGAAACAGGAGCCCCTTAGCAAAATGCTGAGGTTTCTGAGCTCTCTTGTCACCCCTGCTGTACACCCTCCACTCAGGCCTTTCAGTAAGTTCTGCAGTGCAACTCTTAGCAGCACATCCCAACCTACTGCAAAATACCAATCACTAGGAATGACTTGTTAACTTAAAGAGCACCCTTAATCATCTGTACTTTGTGTCAGCCTATTGGAGTGCCTGGGGCAGACAAATACAAAAAAAAACCCCAGAAAACAAAGGGAAACAAAAAAATAAACAAACAAACGCCAAAATTATGCTGCAAAATCATACAAATAGTAACACTGCTATTAAGCCAAAAAAATAAAGTGCACAAAAGAGGAAAGGAACCAGATGGTCCGTCATGTAGGTGGTCTCCTACAAATTCCAACTCTGGAATTTGTTTTGAGATACATATAAAATTAAGTCAACCATTTCTACCATTTATGCTGCTCGAATATCAAGTTCTATTGAAAATGTATGAGGCTTGTGGTAGTTGAAACACTTAAAGGATGGGATGATTGTAACAGCAGGACTACAGGCTACATCAGTAGAATGGCTAAACACTGTTTAGGCAGTATCAGAGTCACAAACTATTCTTTTAGGAATAGGACTCATCATAACTTTCAACATAATAAGAGCGCTAGAACGAAAGGCTGCATCAAAGTCCATGCATGCACAAAAAGTCCTGGGCAGGGGTGCAAAATGATGCACCACTCTAGTTGCAGCTATGCAATACATGAAATTGCTGCAGCCTTGGAGAGTTGTGATGCCTCCAGTGTAGGACCAGGGTCTGTTGGACCTTTCCAGTAGGAAGATGGAGCAGTTCCCCAGATTCTGTGTTTGGAATGTGCACTGTATGAAATTATGCTTGCCTAGGTTTCTTCCTTTCTATTCTCTGTGCAGTAGCAATTTGTCATTTCTGTTGTAGAGTGTTTGAGAGAACAGGACCCTAGTAAAATAATAATTTCAAAGCAATCCTAAAGAACTAACAGAGTTGGCAGGTAACCTCTGAAAAGTATTGTAAGGCATGTCTAAAAATGACCTGAAAATATTATGTAATATATCTACTTGCTGTTTAGTTACCAGAGGCAGCTTTAGACAGTTCAGCTTGGAGAGAAAACAACAACAAAAACAAACAAACAAAAACAAACCACAAAAAAACCTCCCAAACAAACAAAACTCCCATCTTTTTCTTTAGAGCACCTCCATGTGCTTTTGTCACTTGATATCTAGGACAGAGCAGCACGTGGCCAACAGCTAATGTTTTCATTATTTTACATTTTTCATATTCATTGGTATTTTTCTCCTTTGTGCCTGTAATGATTTAAGGGACTAACAGCTTGGCTGATGGTCCTCCAGCACTCACAGGGTGTGCTGCCAATGCAGACAGGTTTTGGGCAGCCTGTGGCCAGGCTGCACAGGGGGCTCAGGGCAGCCAACAGCCCCGTGCAGAAACTCCCAGCTGCCCCCAAACCAGGCAAATGATAGTGTACATACAGCCATCCTAAACCCATGGCTTGATTTGCCTCCCCTCTTAAGTCAAGACTGAGCTCTAAAACTAGCTTGAAAGGAAGGACATGTGGGGACTCTGGACCATAGGGTTCTTCAGGTCACTGTGATAGGAGATTACTTGTTTTTTACCCCTAGCACCCCAATTAAATTCTGTAACTTGCAGTCCTTCAATAAGAATTAAAACTCTGACAAACTCAGTTCCTGAAACCCCAACTATATCCCACATTTTCAGACCATTCTCTCTCTTGTTCAGAAGAGCTGACAACTGAGCCCTGAGCTCAAAGGATGCTCAAAACTACTGCCTGATTCCAACCACTTTGTCTTACCATTGTTTTTGCAGCTGATGATGCTTTAATTATCCAACCAGCTTTGTGGTACAATGAGTACCATTGCCTTCAATACTTTTATTATCATTTATTGCTGAATTTTAAGCACTATCCTAATTAGTAAAAATTACTTAAAATGGCTGTATTTTTCCTCCAACGGTGGAGAAGCAATAATTTTATTTTCATGAAAAGCTACGTGTTCTGTTCATAGCAAATTTCAGGATAAAATTATGCAAAATAATTATTTTTTAATTTGTCTCTTTTTAATAGTCCAGAGGAAAATATTTTTCTTTTAATTTAGTTCTTATTGCAGTTAAAGAAAGTACTTTTTTCTTTTTTCACTTCTAATTTTTTTCCACTAAAGTAAAAGAAGGAAATTACTCTGATAAAAAATAATAAGTTTTTCCACTGGGAAGTAACGCAAAATGTTACTTGGTGTTATTTTGCTCTCACTTCAAGACAGAAAGCTAAAAGTGAGAAAAAATGTTATTTTTAAAAGCAATAGTGTTGCTTTCTTCACTTTTTTTTTTTTTTAATATGTAACTTCTCCTTTTCTGTGGAGAAAGTGGAAGGAGTGGGAAACAGATGAAATACCAATTGAAATGGATATTTCACAATAACCAAATAGAAGCTTTTTCTACTTTGAAATTTAAAAAGTAATCACTAAAATTGAACTAATATTTTTAAAATACATGAATGAATGTTGGTCAAGTAATTTTTATTTTCCATGTAATTAAAGATAAAGCCTGCCACCCTAAAATGTAAAGTATTTCCCAAGAGTCTCTCATGGACTCCAAGTCTGCTCATGCAGGTACAGTTCTCTCTGGTGACCCTGGCTATTGCCTTATCTCTGCTGCAGGAGGAGCTCCTTGGGCAGCACCAGCTTGAGGATGTTAGAGATGAAGATGCTTCGCTACCTAAAAAATGAGGGAAGGCAGGAGGAGTTGTCTCCATGAACCACATGCCCAGGTGTTGGCAGGGAAGGGCTCATGACTAATCACACCATGGCCAGCAGCTGCAGGGTGACATGCTGACTGTCCCTCTGCACCTGTGCTGCTGCTGCAGGCCCTGCTGAGTTGTCCCAAAGGCAATGCACTGAGGAGACCCTGAGAGGTTAAGGCTGGACCACATGGGGATGGCAGATTGCAGAAAATGGGGACATGGTGGAGTGGGGATATTGGGAATGATGGTCACATTGGGAAGGCACCAGGTAAGGTACGCAGTGTTATAGGTATTATCTGCTATAGTATTGGTCCATATTCCTGACTTCATCATGCATTAGAAGTAGCCCAGAATGGTGGTGGTCTCCATCCATAGAGATATTCAAACCCCACTGAACATAGCTCTCAGAAACCTACCATCGGTTTGAGCAGGGGAATTAGACAAAATGACTTTCAGAGGCCCCTTCCAACCAGCCATTTTGTGAATCTGTTACCTCAGGCCTAGGCTGGCAAATCTCCATCTCTAGAAGTTAGGCCTTCCTGCCTACCCTTAAGTGATCCTACTGACATGAGGAAGGCCCTTCGTGACATATTGTGCAATCCTCAGACTGGCATTTCTCTCAATGAAGACAGTTCAGTTTCAGTAAAGTTCTTAAATTCAAAAAATCACAGCATATCCTGAGTTGGAAGGGATCCATGAGGATCACTGAAGTCCAAATCCTGGCCCTGCACAGAACACCCCCAAGAATCACACCATGTGCCTGAGGGTGTTGTCCAAACAATTCTTGAACTGTCAGTCTTGGTGCTGTTCCAGCTTCTCTGGAAAGCCTCTACCAGTGCTCAGCCACCCTCTGGGTGAAGGACCTTTTCCTGATATCCAACCTAAACCTCCCTTGAAACAACTTCAGGCCGTTCCTGTGGGTCCTGTCACTGATCACCACAGAGAAGAGATCAGTGCCTGTCCATCCTCTTCCTCTCACCAGAAGAAGATGTAGGCTGCAATGAGGTCTCCCCTCAGTGTCCTCCAGGCTGAACAGACCAGGTGACCTCCGCTGCTCTTCATAGGGCTTCCCCTCAAGGCCCTTCAGAATCCTCATGGCCCTCTAGAGTTTTCTATCTCACTCTTACTTTGGCACCCAGAGCTGCCCCCAGCACTCGAGGTGAGGCTGCCCCAGTGCAGAGCAGAGCAGGACAATCCCCTCCCTTGCTCGGCTAGTGATGCTGTGCATGATGTCCCCCAGGACACAGGTGGCCCTCCTGGCTGCCTGACTCATATGCAACCCCAGGTCCATCTCCACAGTGCTGCTCTCCAACCTCTTGTTCCCCAGTCTCTATGTCAATTGGTCTGAAGCAATCCATATGGATATGTATTTCTTTCATGGTAGGGATGACACTTGACCTGAGACAAAGGGCCAGTCTAAAGGCTTGTGCACCATTGAAACTTTATTTAAAATTTGAAGTTTGGACTTGAATGAAGCTTGAATATTAGTAGGTAACAAATGGCACATACAACCAAGAAGCATGTTTTAAACTTCATCACTTTATTTAAACTGCCTCTTTAAAAAATACAACATCTAAAAAATACAGCTTTGCATATAATATTTGACCACATTCAGCTGTGGGACTCAATTTTGGTATTGAACATAATAAAGCAATAAAACAAACCAAGACAATCAAAAGCTAGACAGGTGCAGATCTCAATCATTGTCTCTTTGAAACAGTAAGATATATTCCACAGTCCATGAATGTTGCTGTTTCTTCTACTGAAGGGGCATAGCTCTGTGATTGAGCTGCAGATAGGCAGGTGGTATCACTCTCAAGCAGTGGGGGTCACAGGACAGCTTCCTCAGAGATATGTTCTGAAGGATAAAGCACCTTTCCCATTTACCTTCCATCCCAGATGGGGCAGCATATGCTTGTGAACAGACAAGGCTAGAGGTCTGCGTCCTTTGAAGAGGTTAGCACAAGACTCTTTTTTTTCAAAGACAACCTCTTGTCCATAGGGTTTTAATGGGTGACACATCACCCATCACAAGACAATTTGACTGTAACAGTTCATCTTTTATCATACGATGTTCTAACTACGTGGTATTTCACACTGCAGTATAAAATAGAGGACTAGCTGAGCAGGCTATTTCAAATGTAACTGTATCACCTACCTGTATGTAAGAATTTTATTCTCTGAGAAAATGCATTCTTTCCAGCTTGATTTTCAAATTCACAGGCATCTTTCCAGCTATTTCCTTAAAATAACAAAGTGGTTAAAAGTACATACAGCGCCTTTTGAGTACTGATGTGCATTTCTCTGACTAATCTGTTGCGTTGTGAGGTAAGTAATTGTTTTATGTTTATGTCCAGGAGCCAGCATCTGTCTACTCTGCAACCAGCTGCCAAGACCCCTTGGCAAGCCCCTTCCATGCTTGAGAGACTAGCTGCTCTTGCTGGTGGTTGGCATAAAGGCATATCCCAAAACTACAGATTGCAGTGACAGAAGCCTGAAGCTGGCTTTCTCCAGTGGGTACCACATGGCAAGTCTTGAAAGTATCTATAATTATGATAAATTATTAGGAAGGGGGTTGTATAGGGAAAGGCTACAGGGAATGGACATTATTTCAAAGTAGGCCTCTACACCATCCCATGGAAACTGAGAGGAAAGAGCAAAGTCACAGTGGGGCCCAGATTAGCAGGGGTATCTCAAGAGGAACACACTGTGCCTTTGAATACCTTGCAAACCTTAAAACTGCTGCTAGCTCTTCTGCATCTATGCCATTGTATTTGCTCTATCAGCAGTGTCAGCTCCAGTGAAGAATGAGCACTGCTGCTCTATACCACTGTGTCATCTAAGCCGCCTGACATGGCTGTGAAAACGCTTGTCCGCACTCCACAACCTTCAGAATAACGGCAGTTCAGGAAAAGTACTTTGGATGCAACATCCAAATACACCACACTGTGTAAGCCAAGACTCTGAGTGCTGTATTTATGCAGAGGAACTATTCATATCAAAACCACTAGGTGCTATAGACAGATACAACACTATGGACCAGCACTTAAAATGATGCTGTTCTAACCTTTGTAGCCCCTAGGCTAGCAAGACAGAAGAAATTTAGGAGTGACAACCTGAAATGCATGCGAATTAGTCCACTGTGCCCTGGAACAAAATATGAAGAAGACAAGGCTGATTTACTGGCTCATCCAGGCAAGCACTCTTCTCCTCGGCAGTAGGCAGAGAATTTGCACTCCCAGCACTGTAAGAAGCTGCAGACAGAGGAAGTGTCTTAGTCAGGGGCAAGAGGTTATCTTAAAAAACAAGCTTTAAAAGTTTATATCCTTCCCTATGTCACAGTGAAATTTATCCCACAGCACTTGGGCCATATAAATAAGATGCTTAGTGCAAACGAGTGGCTTGCTTATGTCAGTAAAGTGAGAGGAACATCTCAGACATCACATTTGACTTCTCCATCCATTGTTAGGAGACAGCAAGACATTTTTCAGAGGTGGTTATCACTGAGTACTAGGGTGAAGATACTAATATCTATGAGTAGAGAAATAAAATCTTTGGTTCCGTCATTGCGTAAGTTTTCTGCTATCATTGCTCCCCGGAGATGCTTGAGCCCGGTCAACACCACTTATCAAAGCCGTCTGAATTTCTGCAGCTTTGAACAAGCTAAGACTAGAGGTTTCAGCATGTTGTCCAAAACCAGTGTTTTTCTGGGCATTGAATATGTGCAGAAGGGCTGTGTGTGAAGTATCTTATCGAATTAACTGCTCTCAAATTTAAAAAGTAAGAAAGAACATTTAGATTGCTGGGTGAGGGTGTGTGTTTAAGTATGACTCAAATTTTGCTGCAGTGGTACAGCAAGATGTAGGAGAGGAGAGCTGGCTTTGGGCAGTGGCACTGCTTTTTCATCCGCTTCTGGAGCGCTGCTGGAACCCGATGCCCGCTTTCCCGCATGAGCTCAGCAGGTCTGCCAGGCCATCACCTGCGGCTCCTCATCGCCCTGTGTAAGGGACGGGCCTAGGGGTAACCGGCCCGGGCAGGGTGACGCCCCGAACGGGCACGGGGAGCAGGGACGCGGGGGGCGCGGGCCCAGGGGTCCTCGGCCGGGCCGGGCGCCAGGCGCGGGGCGCACCCCTCGGCGCCCCCTCGGGGCGTTGTTCGCCCCCCGCGTCCTTCCTGCTTCCGGGGGCCGCCGCGGGGAGGATTTGCCGCAGATGACATCAGCTGTGGATGCTGGAAAGGCGGCGGCGGCGCGGAGGATGCGCCGGCTCCCCCCCTTCCTCCTCCTCCTCCTCACCAGGTCCCTGCCCTGCACCGTCTCCGTATAAAAGCGCCGCCGCCTCCCCACCCGCCCTCACTCCCTCCCTGCCGCCTGCGGAGCTGCCGCTGAGCGGCCCCTCTGAGCTCAGCGCTCCGGAGCCGCGGGGCGGAGGCGATGGCCACCGTAGTGGTGGAAGTGGACTCGGAGCCCTCCTGCAGCATCCCCAACCCGACCTCCACCTCGCCCAGTCTCTCCCACCGCTTCCTAGACAGCAAGTTTTACCTGCTGGTGGTCATCGGCGAGCTGGTGACCGAGGAGCACCTGCGGCGGGCCATCACCAACATCGAGCGAGGTGAGGCGGGGGAGCCGGGGCGCCGCAAGGAGCGCCGCGACACCCCCCGCCGGCGCCCTGCCCCTCCCTGGGCGCGGCCGGGAGCCGGGATAGCCCCCGAACCGCAGCCCGCCGAGCCGCGGGCTACGGCGCTTTATTCCCCGGGGCGTCCCGCCGCAATCGCCCACCCCCCCACGTTCCCCCGCGGGGTGCGGGCGCTGCGGAGCGGGGTGCGGGAGCCGCAGCGAGCCCCCTCCCCGCCATGGCTGGGCGGAGGGGCTGGCTGGGGAGCGCAGCGCCCGCCGCCGAGCCCGTCTGCCCGGAGACACCGGCGGGTGGGCGTGGCACGGTCCGCACTGCGGTCCCGGTGCTGCTCGGGGCGGACAAAGGGCGGCTGGCGATGGGGTGGATGGGCTGGGCTGGGATGGGCTGCGTTGTACTGCACTGTGCTGCACTGCACTGTGCTGTGCTGTGGGGCGGATGCCGCCCGCAGTCCCCGTCCCCACCGGCGGGGCTCGGGGCGTTTTCCCTCTCGGCGGCAGGGGCTGCGCGGGCGGGAGTGCAGCCGCGCCTTTGTGTCTAACTTTGGGCGCTGGTACTTTTCTGTCGTCTGGACAATTTTTTCAGGACCCAAGTTCTATAGACGCGTATATGTTCCAATAAAGAAAACCCATATGAGTAACAAGGCTTTTACCCAAGGGCTCAGCTCAGGTTATTGTCCGACTGCGGGCTCGTCTGACTCGGCATTTATTTGTCCTTTTCTTAAGGCGGCGATGCAGGGTGGTATTGCGAGTGAAATGACAGTTTTATAAGTTTTCGTTGTGGTTTCTGATACAATAGATTGCAGTGTGTATGCGGAGAGGAGAGAAAAAAAAAAAAAAAAACAAAAAACCAACAAGCTGTTGCAGTATTAGTGGAATAAAGAATGAAGAAAATTATTGCCGGACCTTACAGTTATTTAAACTCAGTTGATAGCCGATTTTATAATTTGTATTTTTTTGTTCTGGGCTGGTGAAAACAAAGATTTCAGGAACTGCCATTGTTAAGAGTGGAGAAGCGATCCCGGAACGGGGAATTGGTAGCAGCCTTGTCATGTAGGTGTGGTTCAGCAGTCCAGCTAGGACTTCATCTATGTCTCTATTGTTGCTTTCTCAACCATTGTTGCTTTAGTTGGTTATTTCTCGGAATTCTTTTTCATTACTATTTAAGGGAAAAGGCATCCTCATCTCAGCTAACCAATTTCATCATAACCTGTTCATCTTTATTGCTACCATTGTCTCCTGGGGAGAGCTGCTGAGGCAGGTGCTTTGTCATTCAGAGCTTCTTCAGCATTGCACTTCCTTAACTCTATCTAATTTTCAGTTGTGTTAGAAGAGAACTGGCTGCATTTTAATTAAATTGTCAAAGGTTATAAAGCGAATTGGTAAAATTTCTTCCCTCAAGACAGCTAATACCCTTCCTCTGAAGAATTGCTCTCCAGTCTCTTCTTGAATCTCCTATTGTACAGTCGTTGCTGCATTGCTCAGTTGCTGCTATCTCCTGCCACTAAGCAGAACACTCATTTACAGGTTTAAGTGTTTAGAGGGAATGTTTGGCCTTTTAATTCATCGTTTTGGATTAGAAGTCACCTTGCAGTTTCTAGTATCAGACCATCTGACTGAGATTTTTGCCTGCTAAGAAAACTCCTTGGTGAAATTTTGAGGTACATTTTTCTGGATGAATACAGTGGGAGTCTGATGCTTTTTCTATGTGAGGCAATTGTGGGCTCAGATAATATTTTTCTGTTTGGAAAGTCTGTTGTAGTCTGGAAAAAAACCCACTTCTTGCTGCCTTTATTCTCAACAGAGCTTTAAATGCATTTTGGTTCTTGATAACTCTGCCTTACTGTCTTCTCTGGTACATCTCCTGGGTACCATCAGTGAAAACTGTGGATTCATGCGCCAAACTGCAGAGCAACCTGTCAAAGAAAACATCTGCTGATAACACATCAGTGGCGTGATGCTACGCAACCTGGTGGAATGCAGAGTCATTTCTTAATATATCGTGGGGAGGAAATGGTGTGGCAAGACGCATTTTCATTAATTACATTTTGGATGTGACTTTGCTAAGGAGGCAATTCTCCAACCCACCATCCACCAAAAGAGAAGAGGGGAGTGAAGAGAAAGCTTCAAGATTTTTCCACTGATTTAGCAGATGCTACTGGGTGTGCCCTCCCTGCTGTCTGATTATTCCTGTGTCTAGTGGCACTGCACTCTTAAGACTGCATAAAGAAAGAAATAGCTCCAGTTCCGCCATGTTTACAGCAGTTTCATCCACACTGCTAAGCCATCATTGGGCTGACCTTGGATTTTTCATCCACATTTACCTTTGTTCTGCCCAAAACCTGATATAGTGATATCATTCATTTAATACATTTTGTTCTGCTGTAATACACATGCATAATTTTTGCATCCAGATTTCTGAATCATGCAGTTGCATATTTTGGATAGTCTACCCAAATTCCAGCTTCAGTTTGTATGCATAGGGCATAAAGGCTTTTATGCCCTTGGCTTTTTTTTTTTAATTTCCAATTTTTTTTGGATTGAGTTCTGTATTTTGGACATTGCCTGGCTGAATCAAGCAATGACTGAGCAATCTTGACTACATCTAATCAGAATCTTATCCCTACCGCAAATTAGGATCACATCTAAAGCAGCTAGGGATGGTGGACCAGTCCTTTCATTAGCAGCACTGATGAATCGTAGTCCGTGTTGTTTAGCGAACCTCCAGAAAGCATTGTAGTTTCTCTGCCCAAGCTTGGTGTCATAAGCCAGGGAGCTATTTCTCTTCAAGCTTCTTGAAGTTCAGCACTCATTCATTCAGTGCACTTCAGCTTTGTGATCAATGTCAGTTTCATAGTTATTGTTTTCATATGTGCTCTATTTGTATGGTATTCTATCATCTTGGTGTTCTTGCTCTCAGATATTCCAGCACCTGGAAGATATTAAAGCCTGTTTAGATGTATTTGCCTGCCAAAACTTGTCCCAAAAATTTACCATATGGCCAAGTGCTTTCTGAGAAAACAAAGTAAGGAGACTTGCAGAAGTCTTGCTACTTATGCCTCTGAACAATGATGCGTCAGTCAGGAAGTGGAGGTGGCTGGTTATAGCTCAGTTATTTTTCTCAAGTGGTTATGGAACACACAGGCAATACTGTATTTTCAATTTTTTCTTGAGATTCAAATGGCAGCTACTTAATTGTTGGTAGCATGTTACACTAAGCTTGCTACTACCTTTACTTGGATGCTGACAAGGAAGAGCCCTGGATGTGTTCTTCTTGCAGAGGCTTCAGGCTCTTGAAATACAGATGTTCATATTTGCATGGAGAACCTACTCAGAGGTGCAATGGGAGACTAGCACTGCAGATCTGGTTTCTCTGCTATTCCCTCTTTTCCCCTCATGCTTTGTCTCTGCAACATGGCTTCTGCTTAAGTTCTGACATTTATGCTGCCTTGACACAGAAAATACATATAGCATGGGAAGTGGCATTGAAGTAACATCCACAGCCTGAAACCCTGAGGGAAGTGTTAATTCTAGACTCATTCTGAGGGCTTGGACACAGACCTCTTCAGGCATCTTGTTGTCAAACCCCAAAGTGGTCTAATCCAATAACTCCATACAAAAGCATGGTCATGTGGGGAGGGGCCATCAGACACTTCCTCGCCAGCAATCCATTTTATGTTTGCCAGTTCATTTCTGTAAATGTAATGATGATTTTTTTGGACAAAAAAAGAGTGCAATTTTGGTTTTCAAAATGGCAGTAGTGCTTGGACTCACTAGTAGTGTTACACCCTGCTCATTATTTCAAAAGTAGAAGATTTTCACAACAATTTCAAAACAAAATTATATAAAAATCTGAAGTGTATTCTTTTTTTTTTTCCAAATTGTTCATTAAAATCTTATGGAAGACTAGAAACTTGTCTTTTGGCTGCAATGACTTTTTTTCCCTGGTCAAATTTCAGTCCTTAAAAATCTACTTTGGAATAATATTTTTTTTTTGGTCATGTAAGTGTCAAGTGTCTTACTTTTTAAGTAGCTGGGGGAAAAACAGTAGGGAACAGAGATGTCCAATTTGGTTTTTAAAGAAAAAGAAGATCAAGCACAGCATTTTCAAATTTCAAAACTGGAGTTCTGACACTTCATAAATAAAAGATCACTTGAATTTTAATTTAAAATATGGTATGCTTCAAAGATACTGAATGAAGAGGTCAGCAATTTAATACTTTGTATTTAAATATTAATTAGCAGCATGCTAGGTAATGCTGTCTTTTTCTTCTAAAAAGGACAACATGACTGAAGAGTCCTCTGGGTGATTCACTTCTGTTTTTGTAAATTTGTATGTTAGGATTTTAAAGTCATGTCAGGGACATTGGTAACTTACTGTAAAGTGGCTACTACTGCAGCTCTAAAGCCAGGGCCTTGAAGAATGGTCACCCTTTGGAAAAGCAGATGGTTTTTTTCTGATTCCTGTCAGAATCCTTCTGAATGCATTTTAAAAAATTGCTTTGTGCCTTGGAAGAAAGTGAGGCTGGGCTTGGAATTCAGAAAAATGCAAATAGTTTGAATGCAAATAGAAAAGTACTCAGTTAAAACTTCCAGTGCTCATGTGTCAAGCTACATGCGTTTTGTATTTTGAATTTTAGGAATCCGATCATGGGACACAAACTTGGTCGAATGCAACTTGGATCAAGAACTGAAGCTCTTTGTGTCTCGCCATTCAGCTCGATTCTCTCCTGAAGTTCGAGGTGAGTTTAAGAACAGAACTGCTAAATTACACTCAGAAACTGCCTGGCACAGTAGTTTCAGGGCCTTTTTAAAGTTAAGAAAACTCACCTTTTGATTGAACAGTTTCTTCATGTGGCACCAATCTGTAGTCCAGTGACGGAAGCCTGTTGTGGTAGGTGGTGTGCACACAAAACAATAACTGGGAAGGTTAGCTCTGTAGTGGGACAGAGCCAGAACTGATGTCACACCTGCTGCGCTACTGCAGCTCGAACCCTGTGC